ACTGATAACGCCATTAAGAACCACTGGAGTTCAACCGCCGAAGCACGCCGTCGGTACCCGGCCATCAAAGACGGAGCTGAACACGCAATCTTGAAGGTTAATTTTACTTAAAAAATTAATTTCTGTTATCTTCTTTCCTTACGTTGCGACATTTCTGCTCGATTGGTTTCATTTTTGCACCACTTTCGTTGATCCGCGTATAGCCGGAAGTGGGTTTCTTCTCCAAAAGCCCTTAACAAAAAGTTGAACCAATATAATGCAATGGTTTTTCAGAGGTATCAGCAGGTTATAATTGTTAGTTTTTTGTTTTAGTTACAAATTGTCCATTTAGGGTTTAACTTTTTAGACGTTGGCTATTTCTCGATTTATGAATATTTATTTTAGACGTTGGCTATTTCTCGATTTACGGTATTCCAACTTATGTTAAACATGTTGCTCATATTGGTTGGGATGGATCCTCAGGCAGTGCTCCTTCTTGGGTAATTCTTCAACTTTCCTTCAAACCCAATATGAAATCAATCGACTTTTGTCCTTTTCCCCCCTCTAATTCTGCTTTGACTGCTTTTATTTATTTATTTGAAAGATAATATAAATCACAACATGTCCTGCATCCTACCTTTCTTTAAGTTGATGATTAAATTTTGGGATTGCACATTTTTACGAACTTCTATTTGGTGATCAAGTTTGAGAGCTTATATGCACAAAGCAGCACCTTAGTAATGTAATACCATGAAAGTCGTAAAGATATATCTTGATATCTGTTTATTTGGGAGTGTTGAACCAAAAATGTGATCAAGGTTTAAAATTTTGAAAAATGCAGTCGTCAGTTAATTCATTCCCAATTCTTCTGAGAACTGCAATTTCAAAAGCAAAATTGTTTGATTGATGGCAGAGTTGAAACTCTTTTTGAATGCTTGTGATCTTTTCTTGGATATCTCACCTTTCTATGGTTATTCCACTAGACTTTCCTTGGTTTTGTGGGTATGTGCCCCCATCCCGATAAACTGAGTTGCTAGGTACAACATTGGGTTTGGACTTTGCAAAGGTAGCAAAGGATAGTAATTTTGCTTGAGCAAAATTCATAATTGAAGTATGAAATGTTCAATTGTAGCAGTCAAAGTGAGTTGTTTTAGTTTATTCTATAATATGATTTAGATTGATAATTTGCTCGAATGTAGCTCGGTGGTTCTATAATATGTTACTATATGTCTGATATTTTTGATAATAAATAATGATCATAACATTTCAGGCTGTTGATCATCCTTATCTTGTGGTGTATTCCAAATCTGCTATTGAAAGAAGGGCAGGCGATGCCGGATCTACTGATGAACAAGTTTGTGGTTTATGTCATGATGTAGCAGAAGACCCTGTGGTACTRTATTGACTTTTACAAATAAAGTCTAATATGAAATACCAAACTGAATCTCAATCTAAGTTTGCAAAGAATTTATGTCTTGTGAGTRATATTTGTTACCTAATGTTGGATATATAAAAATTATCCAGGTCACATCATGTGGGCATCTCTTCTGTAAGCCATGTCTGATTGAATTTTCAGCTAGCTATGGTCAACCTGCATGCCCTTCATGTTCGAAACCACTTACGGTGGACTTCAGTTCAAACAAGGATCAAGAAGATCAGAAGCCTAAAATGAGCGTGAAAGGATTTATTTCATCAAGTATTATCAACAGAATCCGTCTTGAAGATTTCCAGACAAGCACCAAAATTGACGCTCTGGTATGTGGGACTTGGATGTTAGCATTTTTATTTCTTATTTTTTGTTATCTTCATTGTTCGTACACATTGGGTACATATGCTTGATCATGGTTGATTGATTTTCAGAAGGAAGAAATCAGATTCATGGTCGAAAGGGATGGTTCTGCTAAAGGAATTGTATTCAGCCAGTTCACATCATTTCTGGATTTTATAAGCTATTCTTTGCAGAAGGTAAAGCTGTGCTTTTAATTTAGTTATTCCCTCTAACCCATAAAAAAGAGCCCATTTCGGTATTTATTCTCCCCGTTCCAAAATAAATGTTGTCCACAATTAAAAAGACATACAATTTTAGAAATGTGTGATTATTACGCCTTTTCATTTTACTCTTAGTAACAGGAGTAATTACCAGTGACATTGGAGAGTAGGCACTTGCTTTTGGAAGTGCACATTTATTTTGGAACAAACTAAAATTAAAATGTGGTCGGTTATTTTGGGACGGAGGTAGTTAAATTCAAGGCAAGTGTTTGCATCAATGTTTTGAAGTTTATGGCTCACAATTTGATTACGTGATTACCTTTCATATGTTATAGATGTAGTTATTATCTCTCCTCGATATTAAAGCAATCCTCTATTAATAGTAAAATAGAATGTTGCATATTTGGCACTTAAAAATCAAACATTGACTTTCTTTTGGGACGAAGGGGGTGTTATGTTGTACACAAGTTGAATGGTGTTAAATTTTGCAGTGTGGCGTGAAATGTGTTCAGTTAGATGGATCCATGAGCATGGCTGCCAGAGCAGCTGCAATTACCAGATTCACGGAGGTGTTGCTTTAAATCTTACAGTTGCCTCACATGTAAGAACAACTTTTCAAGACCGTATTATACTCTCGGCTCACGCAATCCACGGAAACAAGTGGGCATCGATTGCACGGCTCTTGCCAGGAAGAACCGATAACGCTATTAAGAACCACTGGAATTCAACCGACGAAGCACGCCGTCGGTACCCGGCCATCAAAGACGGAGCTGAACACGCAATCTTGAAGGTTAATTTTACTTAAAAAATGAATTTCTGTTATCTTCTTTCCTTACGTTGCGACATTTCTGCTCGATTGATTTCATTTTTGCACCACTTTCGTTGATCCGCGTATGGCCGGAAGTGGGTTTTCATTTGTAAGTCCTTTGATCTCTGATGCTGACAGCTTAGTCTGTGAATCGTATCTATATTGCTCATTTTAGTTGCTTAATTGTATTACTTCCTATTATTTATGTCAATGTTTTCAGTAGTAAGTCCTTTGATCTCTGATGCTGCCAGCATAGTCTGTGAATCGTATCTATATTGCTCATTTTAGTTGCTTAATTGTATTACTTCCTATTATTTCTGTCGAGATAGAGTATATGGAAACATGTCACTGTTCATGATACAACAGAAACTTAACATTGTGATTGTGCTTACTAGCTTTTTTTTGTTTGATATCCTATTTAACTAATCAATTCATAAGTGTTGTCTTAGAATGTCTTTCTAATTTCTAGCTCATGGCATGCTCAATCCCAAACACCACCATAATATAACTTCAACATTGGACTAATAAAATGCTTTAATAAAATAATTAGCAATTAATGTTCTTAAATGTAATTTAATTTATTTGAAATATTATAATAAATTTACACTACTTCAATCATCCCATGCTTTGCTATGACAATTAATAAAAGCCAGGGACAATCTTTAAGTCGTGTTGGCCTATACCTCCCGAAACGGGTACACTCCTCAATTTTTTTTATATTAGCATATTTAAATATGTACTTATATTCACATATAATTGCATAATATTCCAATTGATAGGTTTTCACACATGGACAACTATATGTGGCTGTTTCACGAGTGACATCACATGAAGGATTAACCATAATAAATGCCGATGAAGAAATGGAACACCGTACACTCATAAAAAACATTGTCTACCATGAAGTGTTCATTAACATTCATCCATCCACCGAGTAAATAAGGTAATATTTTACTAAGTTTATATATTCATATTCTCTAAAATCCGACTTTTATTATTTCTTCTCATATTTATTATTATGATTCTCTCTAACGCCTATAATGGTTAATGCAATTCTATTCCATATTGTATACAAGAAGATCTTCATAAAAAGCTTCATCGAGGATGAGAATATATTGAAGATAGAGACGGATGATAAACGATTGAGTAAGCATAGAAGAAGAGGCTTCGACTACTGACCAMGTTGAACCATATGCATAGGGATCTATGTAAGTTATTTTGTTTTATCTTATTTGTTTCTTTATATATTAGAATGATTTTATTTTAGTTATTGTTTTATGGTATGAAAAAAGTTTTTTTACTTACAGTACCGCGCATCGCGCGGTTCCCATACTAGTTTACATAAAATGTAATACTCATATTTACCAAAACAATGTAAAAACTCACCTTTGTCAGAGACCTCAATGAATGCTCTGCTGTCTTCTCTTTGTTAATCAAACTTGCCAAAGTTTTTCACAGAAACCTTTTTCAATCCCATACTACTTACTATTTATAGTAAGTAAAGTAAAAGCAGAAAAGGGGGGTTGAGGCGGTGCATGGATATGCACACCCTCCCCCGTATGAAAATTTAGCCAACCTTAATACCTATTGGATCAACAGATTAACACAAGGAGGTGACCAACATTTCACTATTGGTCCCTCATTTTCCAACTAATACCAAATTTTACCCTTGAACTTTCCATAGCTATTAAATTTCGAAACCTGACCAACAATAAATTAAAACCAAACATTAAAATATCCTCTCCTTTGAAGAATTATGTCCTGGAATTCCACTAAGTAAACAAATAAAGATATTTTACTCTCATCTCAAACTCGGGTTCCCAGGTGGCTTCTGGCCCCTTATGATAACTCCATTAAACTTTCACTAATTCAATTTCTTTATTTCTTAGCGCTTTTATTTTGAAGTCTGTAATGGATTCAGGAGTCTCTTCAAAACACAACCTTTCATCAGTTTTGATTTCTGGTAGTGGCACAACTATTTATGGGTTTGCTAGACACTTCCTTAGGTTTAATACATGAAAAGTGTTATGAATACCACTTAACTCCATAGGAAGCTCTAGTTTGTACCACACTTCTCCAATTCGTTCAAGGATAGGAAACGGTCCAATATACCTTGGGCTCAACCTTATTTGCGAACCCATTTCTCTATGTAAACTCTTCCACTACCTAGATGTGAACCCACTATCTCAATCAGAAATATTTGACAACAGGACAATGTGACGTGTTACCACTTCATCAATATACAATTTTGCTAGTCGGTCCATAGAATACGATATATTTCATCGGTAAGAAATGAGCAGACTTAGATAATCGATCCACAACAACCCATATAGCATCAAAACCTTTCGGTGTTCTAGGTAGTTTGGTTATGAAATCCATAGTGATGTGATCCCATTTCTAAATCGAAATTTCTAACAATTGTAACTTACCGCAGGGTCGTTGCTGCTCTATCTTCACTTGCATGCAAGTCATACATTGATCAACATGACTTGCTATATCCTTCTTCATTCCCGGCCACCAATAGAATCGTTTCATATTTCTATACACTTTATTCGTACCCTGGTGAATATAAAAACGAGATTTGTGATCTTCACTCAGAATTCTTTATCTGAGATAACCATAACACGGTGCTCAGACTCTGTTATGAAAACACAACAATTCTCAACTGTCTTTTACTAACTCTGTCAACAACCCACCAAGTCGTTCTTGCTTGATCTTGTCCTTTTTCACAGCTTCACCTTGAGATCTTTGCAGTTCTTTGTGAATGCTCGACATCAGCTCTTAATGTTATAGCTTTAATCGTATCGCTCTTTTCTTTACGGCTTAATGCGTCGGCTACCACATTAGCCTTGCCTGGATGATACAATATCTCATAGTCATAATCATTAACCAGTTCCAGCCATCGTCTTTGAGGCATATTCAATTCTCTCTGATGGAACAAATGTTGCAAACTTTTATGATCAGTAAAAATTTGGTACTTAGTCCCGTACAAGTAATGTCTCCAGATTTTCAAAGTAAAGACTATGGCCGCCAGCTCCATATCATGGGTAGGGTATTCTTTTTTATGATTCTTTAACTGCCTTGAGGCGTAAACGATAATCTTTCCATGTTGCATCAACCACCAACCGAAACCCAGTTTTGAGGCATCACTATAGACCACAAAATCTTTCTTTCCATCAGGTAAGGATAGAATTGGCGCGCTACAGAACTTATCTTTCAACATTTGAAAAACTTCAGCTTGTACCACCTTCAATTCAAATTTCACATTCTTTTTCGTCAGTCCAGTTAACAGTGTAGCAATACGAGAAAAATACTGTATAAACTTTCGATAATAACCGGCCAACCCAAGAAAACTCCTAATTTTTGTTGGTGTTTTCGGTGCTTCCCACTTCTCGATGGCTTCAATTTTGAGTGGATTCACCTTATTACCTACATCATAAATGACATGACCTAGAAATTGGACTTCTCATACCAGAACTTGCATTTTGACATCTTTGCATACAAGTTTCTCGTTTCAAAAGTTCTAGATTCAGTCGTAGATGATTCGTGTGCTCTTCCTCAGATTGAAAGTATATTAGTATATCATCGACAAAAACAATAACAAATTTATCGAGATATGAACGACACACCCAATTCATCATGTCCATGAATGCCGCTGGTGCGTATGTAAGTCCAAACGGCATCACCAGGAACTCGTAGTGGCCATGGCGCGTATGGAATGATGTCTTCGACACATCTTCTTTTTGTATCTTTAGCTGATGATAACCGGATCTTAAGTTAATCTTTGAAAAGTAACTGGCCGAAATCAATTGATCAAATAAATCATCAATTATTGGGAGTGGATACATGTTCTTGATTGTCAACTTATTTAACTCAAGGTAATCGATATACATTTTTATCAATCCATCTTTATTCTTTACAAACAATACCGGTGCACCCCAAGGAGATGTACTCGGTTGGATAAAGCTTTATCGAGCAATTGTTTCAACAGTGACGTTAACTCCAATTCAGACGAAGCTAATCTATATAGTGCACGAGCAACTGCCGCAGCTCCAGGTAGCAACTCGCTCTGAAATTCTATCGATCGATCAGGAGGTAAACTTGATAAATCTTCTGGAAACTCACTTACAACAGGAATATTCTCCATCTTATTCTTTTCTTTCTTTATATCAATCACATAAGCGAGAAAACTGACACACCCTTTCTGTACATACCTCTGAGCCTTTAAGACGAAAATAAGGTTGAAATAACGATCTCGTTGTAACATCTCGCTTGAGCAAACCCCAAATTACCAATTTTATAAAATCTCCAATAAAATATAATTTATTAATTATTTGGACCAAAATTGATCCTAAATTATTCTAAAAGTTTTGTCAAAGCAATCGGGGCCAAGGATCGAAAATCTGATAATGCTGCTGAAACAACTAAGTCTAGAGGAAGACCAGAGGCAATGAATTGGTCAAGAGGCAAGCAATGGACCAGAGGCTACTGAAATGGCTAAGTCTGGAAGAAGACCAGAAACAATGAATTGGTCCAAAGGTAGGCAATGGACCAGAGGCTGCTAAAATGGCTAAGTCTGGAGGAAGACCAGAGGCGAGGCTATGAAGGACCAGAGGCAATAGATGGACCAGAGGCAATGGATGGACCAACCCTTTGAATCACACAGATCTGGGCATAACATTAATTAACCTCAAAATATGGGATATTAATTTCTAGGAAAAACTTCAAAATATCCGTTCTATTTTAGTGATAAAACCACCCGAAACATAATTCCAAACCGGGTGTAACGGAGTTTTTACTTACAACCCTAATTATGTCGCAAAAGAATACGTGACAAGACTATATATAAGCTACACATACTACAACTATGAGATACGGTAATAGGCTACTATTTACCCAAAAGCAAGTTCGATATCTTCAAGTTCCCCAATAAATCTTCAAGTCAAACAACGGGTTCTTTCTTTTTATCCGTCTTCTTTCCTGAGAGAGATTGCCACTTAAATGGTAAGCCAACGCTTGGTGAGTTAAATAGTTAAGTATTACATATCAATATCACACATGTTTATAAACATATATAATAAACTCTTATCAATAAAAGAGTTCAAGACATCATCCATATATAAACCGAGACTTACAAGAAACCGAGTGAACAATTACGTACCGGGTGCTAAGATCATAGGATTCCATATTCAAATCGCCATAGTATACCATATCATTGATGCTCAATACAACAAGGAGACGGGATCAACAACCAAATATATTCAACAACGTTAGAATACCAATAAATATCAAGAACCAAGCGATCGAATCGGTATACATAACGAGAACAGTGCATCCCCCGTCTTTCACCTTACGGGCTCATGCCAAAGTCCGAGTCGGAATCATACATTACGGGAAACCTCGCACTGCCCGCCTTCCTCTACCGGGTATGTGCAAAGGTTCCCTACTCATTGCTCTTCCTCCTTTCTGAGCAATGAGTATTCACAACCGTAGAAAGTCTCACCCGTCCAACCCGGGATCTTGACTTCGCCATAAACT